ACTGGAGCATTCATGCAATAAAAAACAGTAACTTGTTTTAAAAAGGTTAAAATGCTTCTGCTGACTTTCAAATCAGCAGCCTTCCATTTAGTTAAGTATTATAATCATTTAGCTCTTTGCAAATTTATGATAAAGTGTAACTTTAAAAAATATCAAATCTATTGACTCATTTCATCCTTTGCAAATTAACTGCTGGGTTTAATCTGCAGTCATCTGAAGCACACTAAATGAAGTGAATATGTGCCCTTAAGGAGAAAAACACTACATTAGTAGTGGAGCAGAAGAACATGCCCTATGCTTTGAATAGTAAATAGGAAATTAATAAAAAAATGTCATTGTTGACTTTTGTCCCATAGAACCAATAGTTCTAGTGTATCTTGTCTGCTTGTTGTATTCTATAAGAAAACTAGGCAAGGAAGGGAAGTCCATGGTTAACTACTTCCAATTATAAAACATGGATAATGTTGCAGGTAGTATTCTTCTTCTTTGGATTAAATTTAAGTTAACTGATAAAATACATTAAGATCAGACATTATTTCCTGTATTTAATTATAACATCTACAATTTATAATTAGACAATGTCTGATAAATAGGGGCAGATATGATAAAACTCCAATAACTGAGTGATGTGTACACATGGCAATGAGGAAGTTGAAGATATCTCACATGTCCTATTGTGCTGCAAGTTCTACAGGGACATCAAATCAACTGTATTCTCCCTCTATTAGAGAGATTTCTAGGGAGATCAGATAATTTCTATATGAACCATCTCCTTCCAGCCACCATCATGCAGTAGCAAGATTTTGTATTGCTGCAGGAAGAAACATGTAAAGAACTAAATATTCTTATTCATATTACTACTTTGCTTAGTTATTTTCCAATAATTTTTAGAGAACATATTTATTTTGATGTTTAACTTTTGTGCTAGTCTGTGATCGTAATAAATTGGGGACTGCCATGTATACTGCCTTAAGCTCCCACGGAAAAGGTGCATATATATCTAACATGCTGATCAATAAATATAAATATAAATAAATATCCTTCATTTATATTATTCTAGTTTATCAGGTTATAAAAATATTGTATTTGCTTAAAAAAACTCTACAAAAATATACTGAAATGTAGAATTTCAACAGATCTTACAATCTCTGTTACATGGTACTAATTGTATAACTTCCAAACATTAAATTAAAGGCAATGTATTACACATTATTTTAAAACTCCACCATTTCTTATTTTTAAACCAAAAGGTAAATCAAATACTCCTCAAGAAATAAATTTTCTTAAAATGTATTGCATTTGAAAAAAGAATTGTTTATTTTAATCATATTACCCTATGGACTTATAATCCATAGTATGATTATTACATGAAAAATAACAAACAAAATTTACTTTATTTTCTAAAAGACAATCCAAAATAGCTTCATATTGATAGTATTTTTGTGTATATCATTAGTTATATTACAATATAATCTTCTGTAAAAGTAATCAGAATTACAAAAATACAATAATAGAATATGTTACATTTGTATTTATAAGTTAAATTTAAATAATTAAATCAAGCTTTATGGCACGATTAAAAGAGGAGACCAAAAGCAGTCCTTTCAAAAAAATCATGTAATTTTAAAAAATGAAAAATGTAATGCATTTAAATGAATGCATAAACAAGGCATACTTTCTTCTAAAAAAGCTCTATTGTAACTGAAGCGAGAATTCAGATGTTCTTATCTTAGGTTAAAGCTGTCACTTCATTCCAAGAAAGCACCATAGACTGGATGTGGCATTATTTCACCTCAATTTAAATTAGATTTTTGGACTGTTTTTCCTAGCATGTCTTTTAAAACTAATAGCCAAGTCTAAACATTTTTTATCTGATCTTGAATATAATTACAAAATGAAATTGTTGATTATGTTTACCAACTAATACACACTTTTTAAAAGTGTAGGGCAAAATAGATTTGTAAATACATCAGCATCATTCATTTTGAAGAGACGTTTGTGTTTAAGATACACATTTTACATGGAATTTATAGCATTAAACCAATAATCAAATCTCCTTTTTTAAAGACAAGAACTATATCTAAATCATGGATTACCAGGTTTGTACTAATTTATTAAAGATTTAAAGATTGCCTTCAAAGTTGCCTAACACTTAAATCAATTTTAAGGGCTATAGTTTTCTAACAAAAAGCAAGTTTAATATTATAGAATTATCCCATATTTCAATTATCTTTTACCTCTAAATATATTTCTGGATACTTCTTCAATGTCATATAATATTAGATATGCAACTGAGACTTACACAAGTTTATTCAAAATAAAACTGCTGTGTTCATAGGACTGCAGTCTAAGACCTGTTTTGAAATAATTCCACTATCAGTGTCACTCAATTCTGAGCAGACATTCACACAAATGGACTAGTCAAACAGAAATGTATGTGGAAAAATATCTGAGATAAAATCTGATTTTGCTTCAGTTATCAAGATTAAAAAAGGGAAAATTTAAGCCACTCAAATGACTCTGAAATCATTTTTACAGAGTTGAACACAGAGAGTAACAACCAAATCCTTGAAAAAGATATTATGATTGGAATTTGATCCTGTATTAACATTATAATTCCCCTACACTATTACTGATTCCAAAACAAACAGATTATCTTTTCAAAATCTTTTTATTGTGAATATCTATATTATTTTCCAATGAAAATTTCACATACTCATGTTGGTGCATTGTTTGTTTTTAAAAAGTGGTCAAGAATAACAACAGAGATGAAAATCTATAAACAGAATCTTCTGTTCCCTATCTTAGCCCATGTTTCTATTTGTTTCAAGACAGCATTGTCTCTCCACCCCTTCCCCATTTCTCAGTAGTATTGGCAAAGTATTGCACTGATCTGTATCACTAAGTTATCTAACTTGAAGAAAGTTACAATACTTAATCACAAAGTATTAAAGAGGTCCAGTACAAAGAATACAGATATTCACCAATTATATATTACTTGAGAGATTAAAAAGTTCCACTTACAAATAATGAAGAGATGTTTCATAATCATGCTTTCAATTCTGTGAACTAAAATGTCTAACACAATCCATAAGTAATTAATTTTCACTTCTTCTACTAGCTCATGTTCTATTACTTTGCTTTAATTATGACAATTTAAAGTTGGGCTATTGCCAAAATCAACTGCAAAGCTATTCCACTAGAATTTCCAGAAATGCAGCAGTGAAAAGCATTTTAAAATCATTTAAAAAGCATATTTATTTCTGCAAAATGTATGCTTAATAATAAATAATCATATGCAGTAGGTCTCTTGAAAACAGGACATTTTTTAAAAAAAATATTTTCTTTTATTTATTTGCATGTATTTTGTATTATATGTATATGTATACACACACACACACACACATACATACATACATATAAATATCAAGCACTTTAAACATAGTAGAAGATAAAACTGAAAATAATCCTCAGGACCAACTATTACTGAAATTTGGAAAAAATACCAAAGATTGAAAACAAAAATGAAAATTTACATTGCTGAAAAAATTCTGACAGTGTTTTTAAACAACTGATTACACTTCAGCTTGATAGTTTAGATTTTGCTTGGATGGGCTATGATGATGATATAGATGGAGGCAATAACGTTTAAGCAGTTAGGCTGCAGAAAACATTGGAAGAAAGTATTTACATTCATAGATGGAATGGTAAGAACTTAAATCAGATATAAAGGTCATTCTGCCTCTTATCTATCCCTGTTACTCTTCGTTACTCTGCATTTCTTGCTTTCCCCTTTGCAACAGCTTTCGAAACGCAAACCTGCCACATAAGTCTGGTCTGTATTTTGTGAAACACTTTGCAGTAGAAATATTAAATGGTCCACCTTAGAAAAGGATATGTTACTGTTGGATTGAAAGAGAACCAGTATATATAAGCAAACATTCCATGCACCAAAATTGAAAAGCTTCTAGACAGGAACCTTCTATAAACTCATTGCAGTTGGTTAACTTCTATTGGTTCTGATAAGTCTGATAGGAAGCCTTTGCTCATCAAATAAACAGCAGGGAATGGGAAGGAACAGGACAGAAAGTAACTTTGGAGTGAAGGAAAATAATGAAACCTTGTGAGCAACTCTGCGAAGTTGAATCTCATTGAAACAGTCCCACACCACCAAGTGGCAGAGGAAAAGATGAACTCTGGTTATTCCTTCTCTTTCCTTTCCAGTGACAGGCACACTGTTGTTAGGGAAAGGATACACATGCCAAGCGAAGACAAACAGGATTAAAACTGACAGGCAGATTTGTCTCATCAAAAGATTGTGGAAAGCCAACAAAAACTACAAGAATATAAAAAGAGAAATGGTGCTACCTTGCGACTGGAAAAAAAAATCAGACTTCATAAAACTTTACAGATTTAAGTTCCGAAGAGAGATCGGACCTTGTCTACCGAAATGAGAAGGTCCCTTTTTTAAGTTCCACGCTCTACTGCGTGCCATCTTTTTCAGAGTTTTGTGCTGGGCAGTCCACTGTGGCAAACAACCTAATTAATTGGTTACGATTATAAAACTGAAGAAGGTGGAGAAAACAAAGAGATGAGAGAGAATACCCATGTATTACAAGTTTCCAAAGATGCTAAATCTTATGTCTCACCCGCGCGCAGTTCTCAGGAATCTGCAGGGCTCCTAAGACTTCTTGGAGCGGCTACCGGGACACTCTGAGTTCGAAGCAGAAGCCCAGATTCCCCTCCGCAGACTCCGGAGAGAGAATCAGGTGCGGAGCAGACCTGGCTCTCCTTACGCCGAAGCAAACCAACAGTAACTTCAACTATTCTAAAGCATCGGCGAGATCCTGTCCAGAGGCTCAGAATTCCCTAGCCGCACAAGCGGCTCTAGGAGCGCCCCCAATTCGGCGAGCGATCTCAGTGGCCAGCGAGCCTCCTCCAGCCGACACTCCCTCACCCGCCGTGGCCGCGCGGAAAACCTTGCCTGGCGTCCCGCTTACCTGAAGGACCAGCCTTGATTGGCCCGTGCCGACCTTGCCCCAAGTTCGTCAGGCGCTGAGACTTGGCTCCGAAGGAGGACCGAGCTCGCCCGGAGCTCCTTGCCTGCCACGAATAGCGGGACAAGGAAACGAAAGACTTTCCCTCCAAGTCGTAGCCCTTGGCCGCTCGTTTCCTTTGATTTTTGTTCTTCTTCTTTCTTAGCGGGCAGAAGGACAGACGAAGGCTGTTATATTCTTTCCATTCGTCAAGCGAGGAAAACTCTCCAAAGGTAAAAGAGACTGAGGCGAAATTTGGCGCTGCCCGGGAGTGGAGAGGATCTTTTGGGAGCCTGAGAGCGACGGCCAGCAATGAGTTTATTTTAGCATTTAGGCCAGTCGAGGGAAAGGCGTTTGTCCGGGCGCCTTTCTAATTTGCTGCCTGCCCGGCTGGCCGAATGAAACATGTGGTGTTCGCCCTGAATGTCACTTGAGTGCAGCGTGGAAGAGCCTCTCCTCCCAGCCCGGGCACAGCCCCCCCCCCTGCTATTCTCTCTCCCCGGCCCGTTGCCACCACACGCGCTCCCTCGCGCGCACAAAGCGCGCGCAGGGCCACCGAGCACCAACCAGGCGCCTGTGCAACACCCGGCGAGGTCCTGTCACGGGCGCCTTTTCTCTCCCGTGCCAGTTGTCTCGGGGAAGGGGGGCACCCCGCACAGGTTTGTAGGCGGGCTTACCTCAGGCCGCGAGGAAGAATTCCTGAAAGCCATTCTTATGCTGTGGCGAAGAAATATTAGTTTTGCCTCTTACTAAAACGGTTCTTGTAGTGCCTGTGCTAACTTGTTCCAATGCCAGTGTTCTGGCCCAGGCAACTGGTTGCAAGCAGGTGTTTTAAGATATATAACCAACCGAGGGACATGCCTGCCCAGGAGTTATTATGGCTAGAAGACTGAAGTACAGTACAAGTCACCTTTTTCTAATTACACTTGCATCTGATCAGCTTCATGTTTCTCTTCTTCCCTTCATTAGCAACATCATCTTGATTTTAATGGTGAAGTAAATTCGTGTCATCTTCCTCTTCAGCACTGATGTATGATGTTTTTTACAACGAGACACTTGGAAAGGAACCTGGACTTTGGCATTGCAAACAACAGGCCAAATAACTGAATCTTTATGCTAAACCATCTGAAACCTACTGTCTTAATCACTTTCAATTTAAAATTAAAATGTTCAGCAAATCTCAGACTAATCACAAACACACACACAAGTCTTAAAGCCGAAATATATTTAAAATATGCTCAAAATAAAATACAAAGCCCAGAATATGACTTTGCATAACCTCAAACAGTAGTACAGTTGTCAAGCACTAAACACAAACAAGATGTTTATGCTTGTGACATCCAGAAAAACAAGCACTTTTCAATCCAAACAGAAATGAAGTCATTATTAGTGTCACTAACAGTTTTATGATTTCAAATATTCACACTCATGCAATGTCAGAGAAAAAGAAATAACTATGACTCCAATACCTGGTGTCCCAAATTTTCAAGGTAACACTGTGCTGTCATACCAAAATAGACCATATATTGGAAAACTTTCCCTTTGTGACATTTTCTGAATTAGTGCTTCTTTATCCATATTAGTTAGCTACTTTGTGAAATGGTTTATTTATCACTTGGTAAAAACTTCTGGAGCAGAGTTTTGATATTGTACCATCCTCATAAAAATTAGTCATTATACCAGGAATATGTATTCCTAATATCAGAAAAATGAAAGAAAAAAATGAAATAATACTCAGGGCGATGTCCATTAAGCCTCTTAATGATTTCTTTGTTGTTCAGTCGCTAATTTGTGTCTGACTCTTCGCAACCCCATGCCAGCCCTCCCCACCATCTTCCACTGTCTCTTGGAGTCTACCCAAACTCATGCCCACTGTGTCAATGACAGTATCTAACCATCTCATCTTCTGCTGTCCCCTTTTCCTTTTGCCTTCAATCTTTCCCTAATGAGGAGCTCTTCACAGCTGATAGCCAAATTATTTGAGCTTCAGCTTCAGAATCTGATTTCTAGTTGCATAACTATATAATTTGCATGTTTTGGCCTCAAAACAGATAAGAGATTGTTCTATTTATATGAGCAATATTTAAATGGAACACATACATATAATTGCTTTCACAATGTAAGAAAAATACCTGTAAAATAAGAATTCTTAGCTCATTTTTAACAGTGTGAACAAATTACATTGTAACAGACAAATATACTTAGTGATCTGAAAGCAAATTTAAAAAGTTTGTTTTTCATAGTATATGTACATATGTTTACACACACACACACACACTACATTTATGATTAGTTTCATATTCAGACTACCTCTAGTTACTAGCTTCAAAATCCTTTCCAAAGATGTTAATTTCTGCAGATTTTCCCAGTTTTATTATATTTTTCTAATTTAATTAGATTTGATGTTTTGGCAAAATGTCTGGAAAATTATTACAAATGGACATATTTTAATGAAGGAATAGTAAGGTAAGGTATATTTATACAGTATATCCATAGAGTAAATATTCCAGAGTCTATATGTATAACTCATGCATCTCAGTTTATAGGATTATTTGCAGTTCTGTCAACCCTCTTCCTTTTCTTCATGCCTCCAAATATCTTAAGTTTTGCCATTTATTTCTCACTTATCTGGTTAGGCAATAGAGGCAACAGCAGCAGAAATCTTTGATTCAGGAGTTTTCCATCTTCACCGGCTCCTGCTAGAATATCAAAAACATGTAACATTCATGGTTAGATCATCAGGCTTCCTGATACAAACAAAGTAAAGCAGTACTGTGAGAAAATTTTTCAATTTCTGGGATGCTGTCCGAAGTAAAATTGCCAAAGGAGAAGATGAAAGCAAGGACAAAAGTCCTCTACTTTGTGTTGCCTAGTACAACTGCAGTCATCAAATTCACATACAATCCATGCTGACAAAAAATATGGTGCTAATGCTTGCCTAGGATCCCACAGCTAGCCTTAAAATTGCAGGCAAAATCATGAATGATCAAATTATATATTTTCATGAAGTTCTGAGCAAAAAGATTCCTAGCATGCCTCCATAAAAGTATAATTAATCAGGGAAAAGTTAATTATGTTATTTTCCAAGTATAGCTTAATAACAGGTATTAAGTGGCTTATGAGAGCATTTATTCATAATCATACTCCATATTATATTATTGGTCCATTGACACCTTTATCACACTTCTTGCAAAAGAATGTTTACCTGTTAATCAATTACTAATCAGTATGTCTCTCTCTTATCTTAAAGCTGCCTACATCTTTGAACAAAACACATGATTACTTACTAATGATGCTGATAATTCATATTGATTATTGAATTATACATCAATATATTGATAATTTAAATATCTTTCTAATATCCCCGTGTATTTGTAATGCAGCCAAAATATTATGCCTTTATTGTTTATATCATCATATTCAGCATACCTTTCTTAATTATACAGGTTGCATTATCACTGAAAATATTTCTTGATGATACTGTTTAAAATGTTCTATTTTGCAAAAATTACATTTTATAGCAAATACATTTGTTAGTCTGTATACGTCTTTCTCGTATAACATACTAAATGCCAAATTACATGTGTTTCTGTGGGAGTGTGATGGGATTTCCCAATGTTTATTTTTAGCTGAAAAGAGCTGGGATGGAGAAAAACTCAAGTTAATATCCTCCTAATTAAAATTGTTGTTAACATTATTGCTGCTAGTGAGAAACGATTCCTCCAATGAAGATTAGCTTTTGGTTTGGTAGGAAAGATTTCAATTATAAAAACAGCTGGAAAAGAAGGTTAAGCACCATTTCTTCCTGGATTGTTACCTAATCCAAATCAGGACCAAATTTAATTTAATTAAATCTACACACAATTGAGATACATATGTTAAAAGGCCATCATGGAATTATTTGATTTCAGACATTTGCTTTTCTAATTGGTAAGAATATGGCAAACCGTTCTAAGTTTGTCTTGGATACTATTAGCAAATTGCAATATGTAAGGGGATATGAATGTATATGTATCATTGCTGACTCTTAACAACCACATTGAAAGATTTTCTTTGGGATTATCTGATTTTTCATACCTTCCATTGCACTGTAATCCAGTCCATCCAGGGCTATTCTCTGATACTGTGATGGTGCAATCTTATGTTCACTTAAAATTGCCCTAGATAAATGTGTATATCATAAGAAATGAAACTGAAAACTTCTAAAAAATTCTAACCCTTACTCTCAATATTATCCCCAACTGTTGGGATTGCTGGGGATAGTAGTTTAGTAATATTTGAAACATCATGACTCTGTGTGTAGGAATGGACTGAATTAAAAAAAATCCAGTACATTTGTACTAGAAAAATCAAAAAGACTGAAATTTTTTAAAAATCTTTAACCAAACCTTTTTTTCTTTAACCAAAAGAAGAGATATAGCTTCTATGAAAAGAAATAAAATCAGCTACCAAAGTTAGTAAAGCTTGGAATAATTTGAAAACTCTTTAATTGGAGTATAATTCTGGGAAACCTTCTTTGTGAAACAGTGCTAATTGAAAATATTCATAATATTAACACTGCCAAAAACTTCATGCATAAAATCCATCCACAAAATTTATTTTTGCTACACTTGGTTTTTGCTAAGTTTGCCTTATGTACTGTTTATTCCTTTGACCTGATATTTGCATATGACTTTTATGACTTATAGATTTTCATAATTTCTCCCACTTCCCCTCCTCCATAAATCCAGAGCCTTCTCGCATATTTAGGATTAACATTGCTAACCAATTTATCCATATCTCACATCTGTGGGCATATTCATAATTCATGTTTTTCAGTTCTAATAAATGGCAAGTATCATGATACAGTTAAGCTTAAGTCTGACATTTTTTAGTTCTGTTGTAATATAATTATCCTACTTCACAGAGAGACATATCTGAAGATACTAATTAGTGCACATGATATTTCAATGAAGATTTTCAATCGTCCAGGTAGAGTTGTATGAAAATGAAGTCATGGCAGCTGGACTTATTTTTTGTTTGAGACGTTTCCAAGCAGCTTCTTCAGTCTGAGCAAGTAGGTTAGGAAGAGTCATTCAAATGTACCAACTAAGTTGAAGCACAGGTGATTCCTGCAGTCTGCCACTTTTCTTGCTATTATTTGAATATGTCTTGCAATATGTTGATGAAGATTTTCAAAATCATGTACATGATATTTTTAATTCTAACCTCAATCAATCAGTCAGAATAGAGCTGGAAGGGATATTGGAGGTCTTCTAGCCAAGCCCCTGCTCAAGAAGTAGACCCTTTACTTTTTGAAACAAGTTTTCAAGTTGCCTCGCCTCTTTTTTTTTTCTCTTTTCAAATTACCTCTCTTCTCTTATAATAGGGAGAGTTGTTAAATCTCTCTTTTAACCTTCCTTCAGTTTATCTGACTTTATAACAAGCAAACAATCCCACTACATTTCTGGAAGGCATTTACACGAGTCTAGCAAGAACCAGTTTTAGCTTTAGCTTCCACATCCACCAATTTTTTTCTAAAACTAATATCTTACCAGATA